TAGCTGACTTTATCAATGTTTTTGGAACATTGAACACAGCTGTTTGCAGTCTCCCTGTTTGAATGTCCACCTTGTGTTCTTTGATACTGTGATTTGAGGAACTATTTTCAAGAAGATAGTGTGTAATCTACTAGCAGGTGATTTCTTACTGTTATGTTTTTTTGTTTTGTTTTGTTTTGTTTTGTTTTGTTTTGTTTTGTAGTTCTGTATTGCGTGTACCCTTACACCGCTTTGGTTTGTTTTGTGTTTTTCTCTTTTTCCTCTTAAATTAAAAAAAAAAAAAAAAAAAAAAAGAGACTGTCGTTCTTCCAGTGAACATGTTTGGCCCCTTTATCAAAGATAAGGTGGTTGAGTGTGTTCGTAGTTGTGGTTGTATCTTCTAATCTATTCCACTGATCTTTGGCTCTGTTTTGATTCCAATACCATGTTGATTTTATTACGGTTGCTTTGTAGTATAACTTCAAGTCAGGGATTGTGATGCCTCCTGCTTGCCTTTGCTGCTTAGAACTGTCCTTGCTATTCTAGGTCTCTTCTCGCTCCAGATGAATTTTAGGAGTGATTTCTCGAGTTCTATGAGGTATGTTGATGGTACTTTTATCGGGATTGCATTGAACCTGTATAAAAGTTTTGGGAGAATGGCTATTTTCACAATATTTATTCTTCCTATCTATGAGCAAGGGATGTGTTTCCATTTTCTGAGATCATCTTCAATTTCATTTTTCAGTGTATTATAATTTTCCCTGTATAGGTCTTTCACTTCTTTCGTGAGAGTAATTCGTAAATATTTCATTTTTTTGGTTGCTAGTGTGAAGGGTGTGGCTTCTATTATTCTCTCTCTGTGACTTTGTTGTTAGTGTATAGGAATGCTATTGATTTTAGAGTATTGATTTTATATCCAGCTACATTACTGAATTTATTTATTATATCTAGGAGTCTTTCAATGGAGTTTTGGGGATTTTCTATACAGAGTATCATGTCATCTGCAAATAATGATAGCTTAACTTCTTCTTTTCCTATCTTTATGCCTTTTATACAGCTATAAACTTTCCTAATAGAACTGCTTTCATTGTGTCCCATAAATTCTGGTATGTCATGCTGGAATTAGCAGTTAGTTCTAGAAACTGTCTTATTTCTTCCTTGATTTCTTTTATGACTCAAATTGTTTACTTAATTGTATATATTTTGGTTTCCATGCATTTGCATAATTTCTGTGTTTTCTTTTATCCTTGATTTCTAACTTTATCACACTCTCATCTGACAATATGTGTGGTATAATTTAAATTCTCTTACATTTACTTACGCTTGCTTTATTGGCTAGCATATGGTTTGTTTTGGAGAAATCTCCATGTGCTGCTGACAACAATGTGCATTCTGTTGTTGTTGCATGGACTACACTGTAGGTATTTATTAAGTTCACTTGTTCAGAGCTTTTATTCAACTCAATATTTCCTTGTTGATTTTTATCCAGTTGATCTACTTGTTAGATCTTTGATCATGTCTATCGCTGTCTGTGATAATGGAGCATTAAATCCCTCCACTATAATTGTGTTTGTGATCTTTTATGTCCAGTAGTCCCTGTTGTATAAAGTTAGGTGCACCATTGTTCAGTATATTAATAATTGTTATCTCTTCCTGTTGGATCATTCCCCTAACCAATATGTAGTAACCTTCTTTGCCTCTTTTGACCCATTTTGTCTTAAAGTCCAGATGTCTGAATATAGGTAAGCTACACCTGCCTTTTTTCAGGTTTACATTGCCTGGAATGACTTTCCATCCTTTGATTTATAGTCTATGAGCTTCTCTTGGTGCTGAATGTATTTCTTATATCCAGAAAACTATTGGATTGTGTTTCTTGAGTCACTCTGGCAGTCTCTTTTGATTTGGGAACTGAGACTATTCACATTGCGAGTTATTATCAATCATTATTGACTTATCTTTCTATTGCTGATCCCCTATCTTGTCCTTGTACTTAACTGATTACCCTACCTGGTATATTCATTCTATTAGACCTTTTATAAAGTTAACTTCATTGTCTCTTTATAGGATATCCTTGAGAATTTTTTTGGAGTTCTGGTTTGGTACTCATGGATTTTGTGTGTACTTTATCACAAAAATACCTTATTTCCTTGTCAATTTTAAAAGATAGTTTTGCAGGATATGTTAGCCTGGAATGGAAATTGTTTCATTTTAGGACTTGACACACTTCACTCCAAGCTCTCCTGGCCTTTGAGGTTTGCATTTCAAGGTCTTCTAATAGGTTTAACTTCTAAAAGGTTCAACTTTTTGAGTGATTTGTTGTATTTCTCTAACTGTTTTTAATATTCTGTTCTTATGTTATACTTTTATAACTTGATTATTTTGTGTCACAGAGAGGTTCTTTTCTGGGAGAAAAAAATACCATTTACAAAAGCACCAAAAACAAATCAGCCATTCAATGACTAGTATTCCATTTTTTGGAATGCCCATAACAGTGGAACATAATGAAATATTTTATTTTCAAATTCTTGTCCCTGAAATATTTCTAGATAGCATATATGAATTTCATTTAAAATTGAAAAACTTGCAATCTTTGGCATAAATGGTTTAAATAGTAACGAATTAATCTAACCAAGAAAATGAAAGACTTCTACAACAAAAAGTATAATACTTTTAAAAAGAAAATCAAAACAGATATCAAAAATGGAAAGATACCAGACAGCTGTTTTGAAAAGAAGAGACATTATGGTAGCCATTATTGATTTTCCTATTGTCTTGTTTTGAAGTCCTGTAATGCTTTTGTTCTTTTGTTTCAATTGGTTTTATACTATTTTGTTTTGTTTGAATTCATCCTGTGCGAAGATATGGACAACTATTTTGAAGAAAATAAGAGTCATTAATGGTAGCACTGTTGATTTCTTATTGTCTTGTTTTGAAATCCTGTGTTGCTTGCTTTGTTCTGATTTGCTATATTCTGTTCTGTTTTGTTTTGATTTACTCTCTTTAAAATAAAAAAAGAAAAATGAAAGATACCTTCTATTCCTGGAGAGGCAGAGCTGATATAGTCAAAATGGCCATTCTTCCAAAATTGTTTTACTGATTTAACACAATTCTAATCAAAATACCAGCAGCATTCTTCATAGAACCGTAGAAAATAATCCTAAAATTTATACGGAATCAGAAGAGAGCCAGAACAGCAAAAACAATCTCAGGTAACAAGAACAAAGCAAAAACATCACAATCCCAGACTTGAAGTTATGTTACAAAGCTACAGTGATAAAAATAGCATGGTACTTAACAAAAACAGACATAAAGATCACAGAACAAAGATAGAGATACAGGAACAATACCAAGTGTATTTCACTTTTTTTTTTTTTTTTTTTGTCTTTTTCCTTTTTATCGGTACCGGGGATCAAACTCACAACTGCCTGCTTCCAAGGCAGGCACAGTATGCCACTGAGCTAAATCCCCAGCCCCGCATATTTCACTATTTGATCATTGGCAAAGGAGCTAAACATGTACACTGGACGAAAGATAGCCTCTTTAATAAATGGTGTTAGGAAAACTGGTTATTCCCATGCAAAAGATTGTGGATAATCATCACTATATGCCAACCTAAAATAAAAAAGGATGACAGGGTACGAAATGGTGGAGTGGTGTATAACAACTCAGTCTCCAAAATTTTTGGAATCCAAACACTGGAAAATAACAACCTCAGTAAGAAAAAAAAAGGAGAAATAGATCCTGGGAACTAGGAAAGATCTGACAGGAAAATTCTAAGCTCTGAAAAATGGACAGACAGAACATAATGCAAAGAAGGGAAGAGACAGTTTGCACTTTCTTCCTGGCTACAGGCTCACAGGTCCTGGAAAAGTGAAACCAAACCAGGAGACAAAGTGAATGCTAGGGACCCCACACGGTCTTAGAGAGAAACAGAATGGACCAGTGGTTGATGTGATCTACTGAGACAGCATGGAATTTTGCTTCCTTACTGCAGTATTTTGATAGGCAACAGCTGATGAGTGACTCCTCGACAAGAGTCTGCCATATATCTGCACAGTAGTGGGTAGGACACCATTCCTCAAAAGGTTGATTGTTCGAACCTAGGACTCAGAGCAGCCACACAGCTCCACTTCAGGGCTCCCAGTGTTGTATTTCCACAGTGACTGGGTGAGAGACGGCCATAGGAGACAGCCATGGTCAGGGAGTAGGATCATTTAGTTTTATATTAGAATCTCCTATTTTCCAGACAGATCATATAGCTGAGTTTACAGTCTTTACACTAAACATCTGTCATTTAAATCAGTACACTATTTCCTCCTAGGAATATGGGTGCTGTAAACACAACAGTATCTCAATTTATCTCTATCTGTACCTTCACCTTTGGCCCCAGACAATCAGGAGGCAAATTGACCCCTAAGAAGTCCAGATACTTGTGTCTCTAAGCCCTTGTCCTTGCTCTCAGTTATACCCCTTAATTATCACCCTTGTTTTATGCCACATTCAACTCAAGTGCTAGCCACAATATCTGATCATTGCTAGCCAACAATATCTGATCATGGCCACCATCAGTCTTTGCCGCATATCAGCCACTGCTAGAACAAATGCATAACCCACTTTCTACAGCCATTGTCAGAGTCAGAAATTATGTGTGTCTACTTTACTCATAAAGGGGAAAACCTAGCTAATGCTGACTGAGCATTTAGAAGACATCATTCTAGGATCTCTGTGAATAAATTTTTATCTCATCATCGTCATTTTGTTGGGAGATGGGAATTAACATGTTCAACAGGTGGAGACTGGACATTCAGGTAACTGGTTCATGGTAGGAAGCTGGTACAGCTAAGCTTAGAGGCTAGATATGAACTCTGTGCAAGCCATATGTTCTCACTGGTTAGTAAATTCCTGCTAAAATGTAATTAAAACTTTCCTTATGTATTAAAATAAAAACTCTAACCTTCACTGGCAATACTGGGTGTTTCATATTTTATTAAGTACATGTCTTGGTTTTTTTTCATTTTCAGAGAAGCAAAAGACCAAACACAACCAGCAGAGAAGGCAGGAGAAAAGTTGCTTGAGGAGATAAAGAATCTGCAGAGCAAAGCTCTCAACACATACCTGATTATAGAATAAAATTTATCCTGAGGTCAGCTCATTTACTTCCTGCAGGTCATTGGAGTCCTTTATGTTTTACATTCCAATCATTTCTGCAATTGAAATTTCTAGAGAAGAAAATTGTAATATGGATATAAAAATAATTTAAATTATATATATATTTTAAAATAAAATGATATGATGACAATGTTAGAAGCTTCTTGGTGCAAGATTTAGTTCTAGAACAAAGCCTTCTGGAGCCAGATGTAGGTCCTGTGATGAGAGACAGGCAGGCACTGTTGGGGAGGACACTGCTCTCCTGCCTCTGCACAGAACCAGCTCTCCCAGGAAGAGCACCATTGGTGTGGGCACTGGCTCCCAAATAGCTGTACCAGGGCAGACACTGATAAAGGGAGACTGGGCCTAGAGAGGACACTGAGTGATGATTAGAGCTTACGGAATGGTTTTGGAACCCTGGGAACATAAAGGCTGCACTCCCACAGACCCTGGCAGGGGGTTACTCTGAAGAAGCAGGAATCTTGATGAATGTGTCTTGGTAAAAACAAGCCTTTTGATTATGTTTGTTAACATTATTCCATTCATACGACACAGACTAGTAAGACTGAAGATGTTACAATAACCAATAATTGTCCAAGCATATTTGACTATATTCTCTCCACTCATTTGCCAATGCACAGGTACATATACACATGAGGTATGATAAAAATACATGCAAATGTTTAAAGTAAAACTTTTTATTATAGTAATACACACATTGCCATTACCCCCCTCAAAATATTCCCCCTGGCTTTAAACACACTTATCGCATCATTCTTGCCATTTTCTGAAGCAGTTCTTGGAGTCCTCCTTCATGAGTATCTTTACTAGGTGATCAAAAGTAGATGAACGCTGCTGCTGAGCGCCACTCCACAGAAAACAGACTCGTAAAAACACTGTAGCATATTCTCTGGCTCATCCCCAAACTCAAAATGACCACAAAAGGTAAATGTTTTTAATCCGTTCAGGATACTGAGGTAGCCAGGACAGCACAACTGAAGACACTCATGAAAAAAAATTTCAGAACTGCTTTAGAAAGTGGCAAGAACAATGTGATAAATGTGCCTGAAACAAAGGAGAAGACCTGTTTTGAGGGGAATCAATGGCAATGTGTCTTTCACTGTAACAAATTTTTTAAAGTAAACATTTATCCTGTGTTTTTTAATTGAACCTCATAAGTCTATCTCAGCTTCTGTACCTATAAACAACAGCAAATTCTTCTATTTTCTTCCTGCCTTAAAGGCCATCTTAAGGCTGTGGCCCCTTGGAAAGCTTGTTCTTGGGACAGTGCTGAGAATCTAGTGCCACCTGGTGGATATCGAGGCCACAAAAAAGCCTCTTCTATTAAGTTGTAAACGTAGGTCCATTCCAACCACTAACCAAAATAACTTATAAATTATCATCATTTTCTTCCTTTTTTTTTTTTTTTTTTTTTTGAGACAGGGTCTCACTATGCAGTTCAGGCTGGCTTTTAACTCACAGCAATCTTCCTGCCTCCACTTCCCAAGTGCTGGGATTATACACCACCATGTCCAGTTTCTTCCTTTTTTAAAGATGATGTTTAGGTGGGGAACCTTATCTGTATTTTCTTCTGCAATAAATCCCATAAGAAATTTCCTTTAGTGAAACATGGCCATGTGAAGTTTAGGGGTTCTTTGTGGGATCAATTATGCAAGTTCTCCAAGGATTATGGATATAATCAAGGCCTGGCTGAGTGAATGAGAATCTTGCTGTCTTTGGATCCCTGAAAGCTCTCTTTCTCTTACACTGACTTGGATTATTAAATCATTTTCTGAGACCCAAGAAAAAATGTAACCAAAGATTCTCAGGATAATGTGCTGGAGTTCTTTCATTTTAGAAATAATTATAATTGCTTCCTTTTTCAGGAGCTTTTATTTGGTGAACTCTTTTCTCAATAATCTTGTCTTGGTCAGATTCCCATTACTGGGAGAAAAAGCATCTGCAATTTAAAAGAAGAAGAGCTTTATTTGGATCACGGTTTCAGAGGGTTCAGGCCATGGTTGCCTGGTTCTAATGCAGAAATACTATGGCAGAAGAGCATGGTAGAGAAAAAAGATGTAGAGAGCAGAAAGCCCCATGTCCCACCCAGATACCTAAAAGTATGCTGTACTAATCTCCTGGCATCTCTTAAACCAGTCAAATTGACAACCAAAATTAATTATCACAATTCCTTACAAAATTCTGAGACACAGAGTAACTATAGGTTACTCATTCCTTATCCAAAATGCTTGGACCAGAAGTGTTTCAGATTCTAGCTTTGTCCTGATTTGGGGGTCTTTTCATATAGATAATAAGATAAGTTGGAGATAATACTAGGTTTAAACACAAATCCATTTCTGCTATATAAACATCTTACACACATAGTATAGAGGTAATTTTATACACATTTGTTGTTCCTGTGTTTGACTATGACCCATCACATAAGAACAGGTGTGAAATTTTCCATTTGTTCCGTCTTCTCATATTGAATTTGGAGCATTTCACATTTCAAATTAAATATGCTAATTTTTTATATTTATTAATTATAAATGTTACTCCTGTGACATGCATTGGGAAACTGATGCCCAGAGAAGTTTCTAAACAGAATTAACAGAAGAGCCAGGTTTAGGCAGAACATAGAATTCTACTAAAAGAGAACATTATAACATTATAATCAATAGAAGCATCAATGCTTTAGATTCATTTTTTATTTAAACTTTTAGATTTGGAATTAGTAGGTATAAAAGTAATACATTGTAATGTTTACATTTTCTTTCATTACTTGTTCTTTATAATACATAATACAGGAAGACTACAAGTTAGCAAATATTTTTCCTCTAAAAATAATCAGCTCAATACTTAGAAAGCAGATGGCAAGTAGGTGTGGAGGTGCAGAACCCATGAGAGGAACCCATTCCATCCCTGCTACCAAAAAGCAAGCACTGGAAACACATCTGTGGGTGACAGAGAACAGCCCAGAACACCTCTACTCCAAGCCCTCAGAGAATACAACTGTTACACTGGGGAGAGGAACTGACGAGGCCGAGACAGCCCAGAGTGCAATATGGGAAGTTTTATTAAAACAGACAGTGAACTGAGGGTAACTAATGAGACTATCTTAGTAGATGGAGTTGACTGACAAGTTAGAGATACAGACTGTGCATTATTAGGAGAGATTGTTAGGAAGCAGGAAATCCAACAGTTTGAAGAGCACTGTTGGTAGCAGTTATTATAAAAGCACAGTCATTTATCTCTCAGTGATCAGGTATTAATCAAATGGCATGCATGGTAGTCATTATCAGCTGATATCAAAAAGCTTCTGATAGCAGAAAGACAGAAAGAATGATAGTCCGTGGGAAAATAAGGGTCATAAAAATAAGATGGATGTGGAGTGCAGCCCAAGATACAGGTCAGGACTGGATATGTTCTCTGTGGATGACCATATATGCAATGTGCATGTTAGGGTTAGTAAAAGGATTTTTTATATATTTTAAGAATGAGAGAAGCTGGTATCTCAAAAAAAGAAAAAATAAAGATCTATAATTTTAAACAGGGTTAAGTCCTTGGTCAAGTTAAATTGCAAGTAATGATAGGATCCCATTACATCTTAAAATAACATATTCATAGCATTTGTCTCTAATGTGGCATGCGGTACTGTCATACCCAGATTATGGTCTCAATTCAGTTCCCCAATAAAAGGAACTGAGGATCCTTAGAAAGTATCTATTTTTATAAGTTGGAACAAGGATATTTAAGATGGGCCTGTCTCATCAATGTTTTGCCAGATGAAAGCAGGCTTCCAGATCTATCAAATGCAACCCAACCCCACCCCCGGCCCTCACCACAACCCTCAGTAGTAGGGATTTAACCCAAGGAGTCCTGAGCTACAACTCAGCCCTAATTATTTTTATTTTGAGACGTGATCTCACTTAGCTGCCCAGACTGGCTTCAAACTTGGCAATCCTCTTGCCTCAGCCTCCTGAATAGGGAGAAATCCATCATACCCAGCTTCCAGCACTTATCTTAAAGGATAAAAATACCAACTTCAAGGAGCTCCCACTGAGCAACTTGTGACAATTTTGTAACAATTTGGCATCATAAAAAGAAAGCAATAGTTCTTTGCAAAACTCTATGAGGCATGCTTTAAGAAAAAGAGAAAGAGAGAAAAGGAAAAAATGGGCCGGGGGGAGGGAGGTATGCATGAGTATTTAATGATGTTTCCAGGATAGTAACCAAACCCAAGAAACTGCACGCTATATTCAAGTTTTGGTCCATATCATAATTTCATCATTGCAAATCAAGCAGTTAAAAGATTCATTACAATCTTGGTAGAGGATGCAAAATCTGATCAGCTCTCTACCGATCTACTGATACAAAAAATTGTGGGAGATTTTACTATAATAACACAGACTTGGCAAGTCTAATTATCCCCCACAGAAATGCATCCTAATAAACAGCAAATTATGATGGATCGCCCCGGAAGCCTGTCTGTACCCCACTCCCATGAATATTGGCTCTCTGCTCATAGCACCTCAGTGGGCAGTGGCTGTAAGGGTGGGTCTGACTGAGTGTGTAACCCAAGGGTGAAGAAGAGAGTCTACTGCAGTATGGAAGGACACTGGGCTTCCAGTTAGGCTGTCTATGATAAGAATTTGGAATTATTCAACTGTTTCACATGTACTGTAAGTTTAAGAGACCTGAATCAGTTAAAAGAATGTGTTACATTTCCTGTCAATTGTTTTTTCTATTTGCAGACATTGCTCGAAGGACCAACAGGTGTAGCACAGTGTCAGAGCCCTTGCCTAGCATGTATGAGGCAAGAAGATGGCTAGTTCGAATCCAGCCTGGGCAACCAGCAACTTAGAGACCCTGCCTGAAAATAATAAGAAAAAGCTGGGAAGGTAGTTTAGTGCAAAGACCCCAGGTTCAATCTCTAGTACTAAAAAAAAGAAGAAGAAACCCCTGAGTTTGAAACCCAGTACTGCATAAATAAGTAAATAAATAAGATACTTGAAAGCATACACTAATTTTGTTTATTAGTTTCAAAAAACTACTTCAGGGAGGAGAAGGGCTTGGTGGTTAATTTATGGCTGGGCCATATGTTCAGCTAAACATTATTTTGGAAGCGTCTGTTTCTTAATGAGATTTAGCATCTGAATCAGTAGGCTGAGTCAGGCAGGCAGCCCTCCCTAATATCCTAATGTGGATGGACCTTATCAAACCCGCCAAATAGAACAAAAGGCAGAATAAGAAAGAATACCCCCCACTTGGTGCCTGTCTTAAAACTGGGACATGGAGGTGGCGGTGTAGTTCAGCAATAGAGCTTTGTCTGCGCACTACCCTGAGTCCAGTCCCCCAACACTTAAAACAACCACAGCAGAAACCTAAGACATCATTCTTCTCCTGCCTTCGGAACCAGGCTCAGATGGCAACCAACACCACTGACTTTGGCTTCTCTGAGTTTCTGATTTAGTCTGAATCTATACCATAGGCTTCCTTGGGTCTCCAGGCTTCAGAGAGATCTGGGGACTTCTCAGCCTCCATAACTGCATGAATCAATTAGATTTCATAAACCCCTTTTGAAACACATGTGCACATACAAACACATGATCTGTTGGTTCTGCTCCTTGGAGAATACTGACTAATACAAGGGATTAGTGTATTTACGAGAACAACTAACTTTGATTTACAAGTGTAGTTTGGAATCTCTAAGAAAATTTGGCCAATTTAGTATAGAAATTATGTGGTATAAATAAGGAAGTTTTAAATAAAGCCTATGGGTTAATTACAAGTTAATCAAAGAACAGGTAGAAAAAAATCTTTTTATATGTTACTTTCTGGATTAATAAAAGTATTTGTAAATTGAGGTCTTGGGCTTAAGAGACATGGAATATTTCAGTTTACTACCTTTAATCAACTGACTGGTAATCAAAACATTAGTAATTACTGCGTATTATTTTCGTGTACAAGAGCCTGCTCAGGTTTGTTTTTTTAGAAAGCTCATCGGATTCCCCATCATCATCATTTCTTTGTGCTGATTCCTGTGTTTATTCCCTCGTCTTGTCTCAGTCATTCACAGCTTGCAGACCTCATGAAGTCACTTTTACTTTACCTTTGTGTGCTTGGTGCATCCTCAGCAAGACCTCCCCCCGACCCTTCCCTACTTTTCCTTGTTGTCACCTAGTGTGGCTCTCTTCTTTGAAGACATAGCAGACATTTGCCCCCCCCCCCCGACTTAGAAATGAGGGTAGAGTAGCTGTCCTCTGCGGCAAACCTCAGCTCCTCTTAAATGCATGCCATCAGATCTTCCCCGTAGACTTCCCATCCTTGCTGTTATTATTTACTCACCCACTAGTCCTTCTTATTCTTGAATCATTTTAGCACCCAGACCCTGGTGTTGTTTGCCATCCTTACCAGCTTCAACATCTGCAGAGACAATGCACCCAATATCTTCACTTCCCATTACTGAGCCTCCTGTCTTGATTGTACCTGGAATTTAATTATTGGGAAGCCAGCACAAAGAGGTTGATGCCATTGCTACCACTAGGAATTGACTAGCCCTGGGAATCAGTATTAAGCATTAATACTTCCAGCATTAAGCATCGTTTAATATATGGGGAAATGATTAACATGCCTCCTCAACTCTTACTAATCTTCTCCCCCGGCCAAGCCATCTCCTCCCATAGTCATGTATCCTTGAGCTTGTCACCACCAGTGTTGACACTACTTCTGCAGTGTTAGAGATTCCCATCCCCAAGGTAGCTCAGAGGTAGAGTCATGGTTAGTGTCACCCAAAAACCTCATCCTCTCACCACCTCTTCCTTATATTTCTACCTGGCTTACTCTGTTGACCCTATTCCAACAATCCTGGCTTTTCAATGAGCCAATGATTTTGCCACTTCTCCCTTCTGCAAAGTGCTAAGCAATTCTGCTGGACACAGTGGGCACTATATAATCCCCACATTGGACATCACTATGCTCCTCCTTAGCTTAGAGCTTACAGTCTGCATAATAACTTCTCTGCAAACCCTCTCAACAAACTTGCCTCCTTCTCCCACTTTGTACTTGACTGGCAAACCCTTGCTCTGATTAAATTCAGCCAACCATTTGCCATCCTTGCACCTGCATAGGAAGAAAATCACAACCACTCTACATTTCTGACCCAGATCTCAGTGCACTCAAGCTGCACAACACATATTACGCTTTCCCTTTCTCTCTCCTCAAGTGAAATTTTTACATCTTTTGTGCTTTCTTCAAACCTTCTCCACCTCCTCCAACTATATTCTCCATGGATAAACCCGCTCCATATGTCACTTATGAAAAAAGAAAGAAGGAAGTGAACCAGTAAAAACAACCTCATCATCCCAGCATGAGTCACCAGCTGGAGCCCATGGACTGCAGCTTCCCTCTTGTTACAAAGATGAATCATTCCTTTGCTTCTAAGTGGTTCTGCTTGCTGGCATCATTAATTTCTCTCTCAGTGAGCTCACTATCCTATAAATGCACCTCATGAAACAAAGCAAAACTTTTCCTAGACCTCAGGTGCTCCTGGAGCTACTACCCCATCTCTGCTCCCTTTTCAGAAAACAGTTGTCTGATTTCTTACCTCCCCTTCTGTCTTCCAGGAGTCAGACATTCCCACTCGCCTCTACACTAACCAGCCCTTGTCACAATTGCCCTAAAATGTAATGACCTCCCTCGAGACTTGGGCAATTAGCTTCTGTGCATGCCAAGTGTGTGCACGCATACACACACACACACACACACACACACACACACACACACACACACACCAGCTCTTCACTACCTTCTCCTCATGCCTCACTGTATTGCTGGGCAAACACACTGTCCCATTTCTGCCCTATGGCCTGGGCACTAGCCACCTTCGCTGTTGGGGATGCATTCCACCATCTTATTCTCCCCATCATGCGGGCCTCAGCTCAAACATTCTTTCATCAGAGAGGCCTTCCTTGACCATCTTAGAACCCCTCTATCTTACCTTTTATAACTCTGCCCTCTAGCTTTAGTTCCTTAACTGCCTTATCTCTGTTGCATATTATCTTTTTTATGGTTTCAGGTGCTAAATAAATGTGTTGACTGAATAAGCAAACCAAACTCATCCAACAACAAGTGGTGGGAAGAAGGAAGGATGGAAGAAGGCAGACACAGGAAGCAGTCCCATGTCAGGGCCAGGGGACTGGGAAGGACAGGGTCAATAGTAGGAGTAAGCCTTTGCCCTGAACTATGGTGACCCACCCCAGACAAGACTAGCCCCTCCCAAACCCCCAGCAGGACATTGCCAGAAAGATGAGACTCGTCACCTGCAGTTCCCAGGTCCCATCATGCAGCAGCAGCAAACTGCCACCTCTCATCTTCCAAAGGCACATGCTGACAGCGCTAGATACCGGCCACACTCAGGCCTCACACTAGGCTTCTGTATCCATACAGATCTTGGGGAATGCACACACCTTGGCTGTGAGAGTCTGCCTCCTCAATCCAAGGGTCTTCCCTCCAGGGCCTTTTCCATCTCTTTATGACTGCTCCTCCCTCTACCCTTTATGCTCTGTTCACACCCACACTCCAGAAAGGATCAGCTGAGAGTTAAGAGGAAAGCTCTCCCATCCTAGAATGAGACCCAGTCGCTACAGGAAAACATCCCACTGTCCTTCCTTGACCTCCAGCAAATTCCCATCAATCTTCCAAAGTTCCAATACAAGGTCACCTTCCTGAGAAATGGCCACCTCCTCCTTTGTGACCTTTGGAGGGAAAGGGCAAGAGCTCTTTGCCCACATGGACTCGCTTGTCTGTCAACTTTACTGAGCAAAGACCTCTCTGAAGGCTGGGTCTGCTTCTTACCCACACTGTACCTCCATTACTGTGGCACAGGGTAAGAACTAAATAGAATACAAAAGATGCAGAGTTTGAGAGATCCAGACAGTGGCAAGAGACTGGGGATAGTTGGACTCCAAGTGCACAATGAAGACACCACACATTCTTTTCATTGAGAGGTCAGCCTCAAAGAAAGCACTTTCCTATCCCCTCAGTCCTAAAAAACAACCCACTCAGGAGCTTTAGTTCAATGAGTGGTAGGGCTAGGCAACTAACTTTTATTCATATATACGGGGCATGGGGGAGGGAAAGAGCACATGCCAAAATATGTATTAACACTTTAGGAGAAGAAAAAATTTGTGTAAACATTTTAGTACTAAATTTATTGAGACATCATGAGATTAATACAAGCTGCCTTTAGCCTCTACAAATATAAGAGGTGCTCAAAGTGATAGTCATCTGCCTTCAGACGTTTATTAGTACAGCAAACTGCTGCTTGAGTAATGTTGGTCACTGAGATTGCTGCATGTGATTTTCAATTTCTTCTCTAAAGGCTGACAGTGTAATGTGTTTTCTGCAATATATGGCATCCTCTAGGGTCCCCCATAGAAGGATAACACCATCTGTTGGAAAAACACTATACTCTTTTTCTTTTCTTGAAGTGCATATACAACTCTTGGCTCTCTCTCCAAATAAATAGATGATAGATGATAGACAGACAGATAGGTAGATAGATTTGCATTTGTTATTGAGTCAAAGTTTACATAACACAATTTATCATTTTATCCTTTCTAGAGCATACAAACTGATGACTTTTAGCACATTCACAAGGTTTGCTGCCATTACTATTATCTAATATCACAACTGCTGGGGATGGAGAGCAGTGGTAGAGCACTTGCCTAGCATGTCCAAGGCCTAGGGTTCATTCTCCAGACACACATGTTGTGCGCGCATGCACACACACAGAGCTGCTAGTAATTCCAAAGCATTCACCACTGCAAAACAAACCCCAGAGCTGTTAGCAGTCATTCCCCATTATCTGCCTCTAGTCCCTTGGTAACCACAAATTTGCTATCCATTTCAATGAATTTGCTTATTCTGAATATCTGATGTAAATTGAATTATACAGTATGCAGCTTCTCTGTCTGGCTTCTTTCACTTAGCATAATGTTTGCAAGGTCATATTCATTTTTATGGCTAAATAATTTTGCAAAGTATGGAACATGCCATATCTTGTTTATCCATTTATCAGCTGACTGGCATTTGGGTTGTTTCTACATTTTGGCTATTGTAAATAGTGTTGCTATGACTATTTGTGTACAAGTATTTGTTTCAATACTATTTTCAAAGTCAAGGATGAATTTTTAGGAATGCAGTTGCAGGGTCATACAGTAATTCTAATATTAACTTGTTGAGGAACTGCCAAAGTGTTTCCTAGCATAGTGGAACAGCGTTGTACATCCATCAGCAATATATGATGAGGATTGCAGTTTCTCCACATCCTTTCCTTTAGAAGACAGCCTGGACACCTCTCTTTGAATGTAGAACAATCACTTCCACAGTCGTTACACTGAGCCCTTTCTCAATGTACTGATATGTACAGAGCTGGCTATGCTATCTCCTTCTCCCTTCATAAGGCTAGCCGAGGTACAGATGTGTAATTCTTGAAAGCAGCTGACAGTTTTCTGTTTTCTCATGTCTTGTTCTCTATAAACAGTTAAGCACTGTGGGATGGCAGAGCCATATAGCTCCAGGAATGTCAATAGGCTTTGAGCCTCAAGAAGCTATGACTTCCAGGGCACAAAAGTTTACATATCAGAAACTGAAGCAACAGCCTCCTAATCATTCAAATGCTACCTCAATTGAGTTATGAAGACTGGTCTTTCTACGTACCCTTCTCTGTGCATATTGCAGAGGTACTTGCTCTCCACTGGTCAATTCAGCTCACATCACTCATGTAATTCCCTGCCATTCTCATTGTCACTCATCCTCAAGCCACTACCTTCTCCATAAGTGAATAAATCCTGGGTGAGGCTCTTGGGGAGGCCTTTGTTCCGTGATCCTTACCTGAACTGGACTCAGGACCCCTGGGCTACCTGTAACTTTGAATATGTCTTTATTCTCACTGTAGGTTTCACTGGACATGGTAAATTGGAATTAACTCACTTGAATTCCAATAATGTTTCAATGGGATTGCAAATTTAAAACTTCTCAAGTCATGAGGACAAGAAAAGGGATTACAATATTTGTATTGCAATACTTTCCGACAGTTGTTATTTTCTGGTTTTTTCTTTCTGGCTTGCTTGCTTCTTTGTTTATGTTTTTAAGGCAAGGTCTCCCTACGTGGCCCAAGCTGGCCTCAAACTCCTGGATTTAAGCCACCTCTTGTCTCCTGCTCCTAAACAGTGTTATTTTCTACTTTGTAAATATCTTAGTGATTGTAAAGTAGTACCTTATTTTTGTAACTTCCACTTGAATTCTCTTATGATTGTAATAACGGTGAGCATATTTTATATGCTTTTTTGCCTATTTGTGAATATTCTTTGGAGAAAGTTCTATGTGAGTCATTTTCCTATTTTTAATTTAATTTTTTGTTGAATCATTACAAGTTCTATATGTATTCTGGATACATTAACCTTAGCAGGTGTATAATGTACAATGTTTTCTCCTATTATCTGGATTTTTTTCCATTTTTCATTATAGTTGTTGACCAGCCTGCTTTTTTTCTTTTCTTTTCTTTTTTTTTTTTTTTTTTTTTTTTTTGTCTTTTTCCTTTTTATTGGTACCGGGGATCGAACTCACGACTGCCTGCTTGCAAGGCAGGCGCTTATGCTGCTGAGCTAAACCTCCAGCCCCTGACCAGCCTACTTTTATAAGCAATTTATTATGGAAATTTCCAAACAAACAAAAGTAGAGAATGTTATAATGAAGAATTGAACTTTTTATGCCCTTTCAAAAATAACTAACATTTTTGTCAAAGTTATTTCATTACATCTATGCCTCTTTTGTCTGAAACAGACATTATGACATTATGTTGTCTCATCTACAAATACTTCGATATGCATCTTTACTAAAGATTTGTTGGCTTATATAAACACCATACTGTTATTCTACCCAAAAAGTAAATAATAATTCATTAATATCTTTTCTAAAAATCATGCTCAAATTTCTCCTCAAAGGTGCCTTTTTTACCATTAGTTTATTTGATTCAGGACCCCAGCAAAAGCCACATATTATATTTAACTGCTGTTTTCAAAAGCTCTTATTTGATAACAATCCTTCCCCCCCTGCATATTTTTGTTCCGCAAACCACTTCATTTGCCCCATAGATGTCCCACATTCTAGATTTTGCTAAGGCCATGGCATGTTTACATACAAATAACTGAGCAGCCACTTTGGGATCTCAGAACTGAACTGATTAACAATAACTGCTAATTGCTAGTTTGCACAAATTGTGCTGGATCTTATATATACATGAACTCATTTTGTCCCCCACAACAATAGCAGCGTCTTAGTTACTTTTTTCTCTCATTGTTGAGACAAAATATCTGACAACTAAAGTTAGGGAAGGGAAGGTTTATTTCTTACAGGTTGGAGGTTTCAGTCTATACTCAGTTGGCTTCAAGTGGCAGGGTGACAAAGTGGACTGCCATTCCTGGACCCCAAAAAACAGCAAGAAGCGAGCCTTACAAAAGAGAAAGGACAGGCCTTCTTCCCATCTTTACACTGTATGCTGGCTCCACCCCTGGGCAGGTATAGCACTCACACCACCAATCTGAGCACTAGACAACAAACCACTCACAAAGGCTAGATTGGGACACATCCATGATTGCATGAGGCTTGGGGAGGGGCATGTGAACATAAACCATAACAAGGAGGTAGGTAGTACTTTCATTCCCATTTTATAGATGAGAACACTAGACTCAGAGGTGAACTTGCCTTAGATCACACAGCCTGCACAGGATGGAGTCAGATTTAACCAAGGCATTTTGGCTCCAGGATCTGAGAATTTTTGTCATTGCTAGATTTATATCTGCTCCCCAAAGCCCTGTGTCGTATCAAACCCAACACCGTGCTTTTCAAGGCCAAGACCAAAGGATGACTCAGGTCAAATCTTCCTTTTTGGGAACACATAACCTGAAGTGCACCTCCCCTTATCTATACAAAATGATTAGTCCATGTAGTTATTTTCCTAAGATTAGAAGTGTAATCGGGACCTTGGAGAAAGATATTTTCTTCACGTTAGAGAGAAGAAAACTGAGCTCCAAGAAATGACAGCCTTTACATTTAAGGACTTCTTTAGGCTGGCTGCTGAATACCCAAGCATTCATTTATGATTAGCTCATTGATCATTAAGTACTTAGCGATGAGAAATAGAAACAAGGTAAGCCTTTGTTCCCCTTTGCTTGAGGTCAGAGGCATTTCACAGTGGGTGGTTAGCTAAATCATAGCCGATGGTCTGCCAATTCCAGGAACATTTGTCTCTCACAAAGGGAACAAAGGCTGACACAGTGAACAGGTTTCTGGGGGGAAGACACATAATCTATAACTATGTGGTTGGTGTGCAGTAATGAGCACAGTACAGAATGACAGTACTGCTAATAACTATCCTTTTAACTATTTTTGCTAATAACTATCTTTTTAACTATTTTAGTTTTTTAGCATTTTAGTACAACAGTCTCCTAAGATCCTCATCTTTCTGCCTAAGAGGTGAACCCTGTTCTTCCTCATCTTTCTGCTTAGGAGAGGAATCTTGTTCCCCAGAAGTGGAATGGAAGAGAAAGCCTGACGCAGACGCTAGAGCTAATTGGGAGCATGAGAGATCAGAGAGAATCTGTGTAGAGGCAGAGTCAGTGATGGGAAATACAGTTCACAGTGACAGGGAGATACTAGGTGGGAATAGTTGACTTCAGGGACCTGCAGACTCTTCACTGGGCCAAATACCATTATGCTATGAGCCAGATTGTCCTAGCCACTCTGCCCTTCCAGGAGGAAAGCAGCTATCGACAGGAAAAGGGATGAGTCTGTCTTCCAGTAAAGCTTTATTTACAAAATCAGGTAGCAAATGGTTCAGCTCACAGGGAAGAAGTGGCGATGTGATGTTGCTCTGCAGACCGCGCAGGATGAAGCATCTGGGAGTAGCTGGTGGGCAGCAGACGCGGTAATAATAAATCTCCAGACCCCGAGTGCCTACAGACAGGAAAAGCACCACAAGCCTGCCAGTCAGGTGAATGGGGCCCACACGGGACATGTGGCACGCGGAGCTGCCCTTCCTTCCAGGGTTAAACCGGATGACCTAGGACTAGGCGTGGCGGTTTCCGAGGCCAGCAGAACGCGCCAAGGTGCTCGCTAGGAGTAAAGACTCCAATGCTGGCCAAGGCAGCTGAGGGGTTGCTCGCTGTACCAGCGGATGCGGAGCCCAGAGAAGCACTCGGAGTCTCGGCCATAGTTGGGAGTTCACCACTCAAGGACTCAGGTCCCGGCCCCGCCCCTTGCTGGCCCCGCCCCCTGCCAGCCCCGCCCTGGCCTTCCGACTCCGCCCAGAGCTGGGCCGGCAAGCTTTGCGCTCGCCCGCCCTACGCACGGGTAGCCTTGGCCGGGGTAACTGCAGAGGTGAGCTAGGCTAGCGGGGTGGTGGTGCTCAGGGTCCTGCGAAACTGCTTACTCTTCCGTAACGTCTCCCTCCTATCTCGTTGCCCTGCCGTCCCGTGTGCAGACTACCGAGAGTGACCTGGAGGGCCCAGGGTGGAAACGTGGCGGGTCCCTTCAGACAGGGCCCGGCAGCCGCCTCGGCCAGCCGCCCCGGAATTGCGCGGCGACCTCTCTGAAAGTGACCCCGGTGCGCACCTTAGTCTGGGGATGTCGGGGGGTTAGTACTTTGACCAGGAGCCTTCATTTTCAAGCCTGTTTGGCCTTTTGAAAGAAAGGCTAACAGACGTTACCTTTGTAAATGTCTTAGCTTTGTTTTGTTTCTAGTACTAAGTATTAAACCCAGGGGCTCAGGCATGCTAGGCAAATGTCCCCCACACGCCCAACCCAAGATCTCGATTAAAATGGGCCAAAGAGTAACCAACGATCGCGTTTGCTGCAACTCTTTGCTAATTAGGCATTTTTAGGAATACAGTGAGTTTCAGCCAGCGTTGAGTAATTGTGACTAATAGTGACAAATATGACAGGGTTCTCGGGGTGTTTCAGAATAAACCATAGGGGGTGTGGGTGGGAATAGAGATGAAACAGTATTGGCCATGAGTTCACGATTTTTGGAGCTGATGTACTAGTCTACTTTTATATATGTTTGTATATGTATATACATGTATATATGTATATGTTTATATATGTATATATGTTTGTAGCATAAGTTTTCTGAAATGGATGGTTTGCTGTGCGTGCCTGATAGCCTGTATTCAAATACTCTGCCTGTTGGCTAGGGCTGCCATGACCAATGCCACTGGCTGGCCAGCCTAAGTGGGAGAAGAATTTTTTTTCTCACAATTTTGGATGCTAGAGGTCCCAGACTGAGGTGTGAGCAGGTTCAGTTCCTCCTGGGGCCTCTGATTGCAGATGCCCTCCTCTCTGTGTCCACATGGTGTTCCTCCCATTGCATATGTTTGTGTCCTAATCTCATTTTTAGAAAGAGACCTGTCAGGTTGGAATGGAGCCAGTCCTAACAGCTGGTTTTGCTCTTCTCTGTAAAGACCCTGACTCCAAATACAGTCAGCTTCTGAGATGCTGAGATATAGGCCTTAAGCATGATTTCATCAGCCCAGAAGGTAACATTGCCACTTTTCTCATTTGGGATTTTGATCAGTTTACTTAACCCGTCCTTTGCACTAATTTTCACAGTTTTAAAATAGGGACAGTCATGGTAGAGGTCTTGGGAGTGGTGAGAACTTTATTATTAATAATTAATTAATAATAAAAATATTATTATTAAATAGTAGTCAGTCATTTGTATCCCTGGAGATTCAACAGCTTGCACATTGAAGTTATTGGAAAAAACTTTTCATTTGTACTGGATATTTACAGGCTTTTCTTGTCATAATTCCATAAGCAATATGTAACTAAACTTTATATTACATGCTGTAAGAGATCATTAAAAATATGTGGGTGGATTAACAGATCTTGTATATAAATACTAAGTCATTTTATAGAAGAAACTTGAGCACTAACAGATTTTGGTATTTGCAGAGGTCCAGAGACCCAACCACCTGCAGATCAGAGGAGATGATTATGTGTGTGTTGTATGTGTGAATAGGTAAGTACATGCACATATTTAAACAGCTGTGTGTTTATTAGTGGTATAAGTACCTTTTGTTGACCTAATAGAATTGGTTCTTCATACTTGTGGATTCTCATCTATGGAGTCAAACAACCTAGCATTAATATTAGGAAGAAAAATTGTGTCTGTACAGAAGACCCAGGCTTTTTTTTTTCTTTGTCATTGTTTCCTAAACAATATAGTATAATCACTATGTATAGCATTCACATTGTATTAATTATTAAAGGTAATCTGAAAGTGATTTAAAGTATATGAGAGAATATGTATAGGTTATATGCAAACACTGTACCACTTTATGTAAAACACCTGAGCATCCTCAGATTTTGGTATCTGTGAGTGGCCCCAGAACCAAACTTTCATAGATGCTGTTTGACATGTGTATATGCAAAGCTCTCAGAACTATGTCTAGCATATAGTAAGTACTCAGAAAATTGAGCCTGTGATTCATTTATAAATTAGCATCGTGGGGCTTCGTGTGGGATGAATGGGAAGGTGTGGTAAGGCAGTGGGGTATTTGCTGCTATGCCTAGCCATGGGAATAAAAATAGTACTTATAGCCACTGCCACAAAGGATGTCTCTACTGTCCCAAACACAGTAGGGCATTTGTGTCATTCATATACTCATGACTTATGTACTCCAAGGGGTCCATTGTCACCTGCATGTTTGGCAAATGGAGGAACAGTTTTTTTAAACGCAGGAGATCTGGCTCTGATATCCAGACTCTTAACCACAGAGCAGTACTGCTTCAGTTAAGGATATAGCACTTGAACGTTTGGTCTGCCAGAAACTCTTGGCTAATTTCTCTTTTTCTTGGCCAGGTTGTCAGCAGTGGCAGCACTCATGGCTGGCCCCCTGTGGCGGGCCACAGCCTTTGTCCAAAGACACAGGACAGCCCTCTTGGTGGGCTCCTGCACAAGCCTGTTTGGAGCTCAAATCTCCTACCATCTCTTTGCGGATCCTGTTGTCCAGTGGCTTTACCAGTACTGGCCTCAGGGCCAGCCAGCCCCACTTACCCCAGAGCTGCGGAGTCTTTTTCAAGAGGTGCTAAAAGACTTGGGCATCCCCTCAAGCCACTGCTACAAGCCTTTCACCACCTTCACCTTCCAGCCTGTGAGTGCTGGCTTCCCAAGACTCCCTGCTGGGGCCATGGTGGGCATCCCCGCCAACTTCCTGGGTGGCCCAGTGACCAACACTAACCATCCAGTGGTCATACATGGGCAAAGTATCAACTGGCAGAGCCCAGCAGGCACTCGGCTAAAAGAGGCCCTGATGCTAACCCGTGATGCCCAGAAATTTGCCTTGGCCAGAGAGGTGGTTTACCTAGAAAGTGGCACTGCTGCCCTACAAGCTCTACCAGCCCCAGCTTGCCTGGCAGGAACCTGGGCACTGACTGTGGGTGCCAAACATGCACTAGGGCTCTATGGAGGCCCCATGAACTTACGAGCTGCCTTTAACTTGTTGGCAGCAGTGACAGGCTTCGTGGCATATGCCTTCTCCTCAGACTCTCTCACTCATGCCTTGGAAGGCTGGTTGGACCGCCGCACGGCCTCACTGTCTGCAGCCTATGGCCGGGGTGGAGTGGAGTTCTATGAGAAACTTTTATCAAGCAATGTGGCCCTTCGCAGCCTCTTGGGCAGCCATGGAGAGAAGCTGTACACACCCAGTGGGAATGTTGTCCCCAGACACTGGTTCCGCATCCAACATTTACCTTACACAGCTCGCCGTGACTCTGTACTGCAAGTGTGGAGAATGACTGTCAACTCAGGTCGCTTCTGAGGGGCTCATCAGCATGACAGTCCCAGCTCATACAGGTGCCGTCCTGCCACTGACAGTCCCACATCCACAACCCAAAGTCAGAGTGATCACAGGGTTTGGAGTTCAGTAGCCTCACCTACCAGTTGTGACCTCAGGGACCTTGGCAAATTGCTTTATGAATCTGGGCCTTGCTTTCCTCACTTGTGAAATGGAAGGATGCAAACTACCTCACAGGATTATACGGTTGTGTGAAGTCCTGAACATGAGGGCCAAATAAACAAGAAGTTCTCCATCTGGGTCTTTGAATTCCAACAGACTGTGGGAGGCTAGCCAGGCATCACCACCGGAGGTGCATGTGGTGTATCAGCCCTTCCTTCAACAGAGAACACTGCACCCCCGTGTGCCTAATGGTCAAGTTCCAATTTTTCTTCTTTGTAGTACAGATTAAAAAGACCAAGATGTGAAGTTAATGAGGCCTGGGCTGCCTAAGATGTGGTCTTAGGGATCATGGACCACTATGAATGCAGATTGCACACCCAGAGAGGAGGAAAAAGAAGGCCATAGTGCATGAGGAGAGCTTATGCGCCGGGAGAGGGAAAGCATTCCTAAAACCTGGCAAGAGCTAGACCTGAAGGCAGCAGAAAGAACAAGCCTATGCGGCATAGGCTCTGTTGAGATGCCCTACAGGATTGTCTTCTGGGTATGGAGCAGTCAGAATGTGGAGAGGGGAGGAGTCAGGTGGTGGAAATTGCTCAGAGAAAACACCGGGGAGAGCAGAGGAGGTAGTGGCAGTAGACCTGGCCTGATGTCACTCAGAACCAGAGAGCTGTTTATCCTTCTTGCTTTCTTGAGCCCCCTGGTGGTAACAGAACAAACCCCCAGAGCTTTCTTCCCTGCTAGAAATCCCCGCAGCTTAAAGTGAGGACAGCTGTGACAGCCAAGCCTAACTTGTCACTCATGCAAATTATGTTTTCCCTAGAAGAGTAGTGAAGAGTTGAGACCTGATGCTAGTGTAATGCGAGTACAGGGATTAGGTCACACTCAGGGATGGGCACTCATGATGCAGATGGTTCCTGACAGGAGTCCTTGAGAGGAGAATGGGCCAGCTGGGGCTGAAGAATGGGCTGGGCATGGCACATCTGCTAGATCCTTCCCACTCTGGGAGCCTAGTACACTGTTCCAGCTTGAAGATCCATTTACTAAACCTGGGCAGGCTCCGTACTTGAAGATGGGACACAGGTCTCTAGTATCTAGGATGCCAGAGGGTATGAGATTGATGTGCACAGTAGTGACTGGGTGAATGAGTTCTCTACCCTGGCAAATGTTACCTCACTGGGCTCCCTGGGATGTCACATGGCTGCTTCCATATATCACAGATAAGGCTACATGGGTCACCTAACTCTTAGCTGGAGAAATGCGCTCTGGAGTCTGGATATCATGAGCTCCACCTCATTGCTTTCCACTCCCACCCCATCTACTCTTAGTTATGATGGGACCCAAGATGGCAGCATCAGGCACTCACTGAGCTGCTAAAATGCTAAGCACTCTGGTGCTCTGCCTTCCAAAGGTTCTTGTGCTGAAAACTTGGTTGCCAATGTAGTAGGGCTAAGAGGTAGTAGAACCTGTAAGAGATGGGGTCAAATGGAAGGTAATTAGGTTATTGCCTTCAGAAAAGCTCTCAAAATGAGCTTTTCTTTAAAAGGAACAAGACTGGTCCCTCCACACTGGCTTCTTGTCCTATCATGTGGTCTCTTCTGTATGCACTTGTGATTGTGATGTCATCAACCATGAGGTCTTTGCCAGAGATGAACAGAAGCTAATTTCATGTGTTCAGATCTCCAGAATGAGTTAAATAAATGTATTTCTTTGCAGTTACCCAACCTCAGGTATTTTGTGATAACAATGGAAAATAGACCAATACAAAAGGTAGCCCCAGTATGGGCCAGAGCAAGTCTCTGAAATAGCTGTTTACTTTTCTGATCCACGTCACAGTCTGTCTCCATTCATGGGCTCTTCCTAGTCCTCAAACAGCTTACCCTCTATCCCTAAAACCTTAACCCCCACAGTCTTCACCTTCTGTTTTGGTGTGCATGTGGTGCCTTGTTGCCCCACAATCACACACACATGCACATCTAGCTGCAGCCAGCATACAGGAACAGAGACTCGGAGTCATGGTGCAATCATTAGCTCTGCCCACTCCCAGCCCTAGCTGACCCCACTGGCTTTGGCCCCACTAGCTTCTTCAATACATGGCCATCCAGTGTTCTTAGAGCTAGGTACTCACACCAAAGGTACTGCAGTGTGTGGAGCTTGGGGAAAGCACATGGTGGACTGAGAACTTTTCCTGTGTTGTGCTTTTAAGTGGTGTGAGTACCATGATGCTCAGGTTTGGGAATTGCTGCCTAAACATTAACAACTTTTTGGAAATGGAGCCTCCCCTGGAACATACAGCTGCTTAACACGGCTTTACTCACAACCTGTCAAAGCCCCAGTCAGGGCAATTCTGTGTGTTGACAACTTTGGGAAATTACTTGGCATCAACAGAGATCAAAGAACCAGGTGGTCTTAGAGGAGACTGCAGACTGGAGAAAAGGGAACTAAGGTGGGAGTGTCTTGGTTTCTTTTTCCTTGCTAAGGCAAAATACCCAACACCCAAAGTTAAAAGGAAAGATTTAGCTCATGATTTGTAGAGGGGTCAATCCATAATCAGCTGGCTCTAAGGCAGGACAGCTTCACAGAGAAGAGTTCATAGCCACCAGAATACCTTCCGAAAGCAACAAGAAGCCATTCGTGGACTGTGAAGGAAGAGAATGAGAATGCACCAAGAAGCAAGCCTTGCATGTAGGCTGCTGGGGGAACAACCAGACGCCAGCCTTTTCCCATGAGTGGGAGAGAACAAGAAGTGAGCCCTCCCTGCAAATCAGCACCATGTGTGGGCCAGTGCAGGGAGAACCAGATGTCAGCCCCTTCTGGCTTGTGGGCTGGGAAATGAGTCAACACCCACCCCACCCCCATCACCATAAGCGACCAGTTGATCTGGAGAAACACGAGCTGCAATGATAACTATTGAGGTAAAATAGAATTTAGTGCTTGTGGTGTTTGATGTTTCACTGAATTTGCAGGTCTAGAACCAATAGTCTTACCATCTGTTCAGAGGATGACAATACATAATGTAGCCTCTATGAGGAATCACCTTCTGAAGGTGGTGGCCATTGTTCATTCCCTATTACCTTGTTTTGAAGTTTTATATCATTTTCATTATTTTGTTGGGTTGGGTTTTGTTCTGTTTTGTTTTGTTTGATTTTATTATGTCTAATGGCAAGGGCAGCTATTTCAAAGATAACAAGATATATTATGGTAGCCATTTTAGATTTACTATTTTCTTATTTTGAAGTCCTTTATTACATTCATTACATTGTTTTTATTGGTTCGATTCTGTTGTGTTGATTTTTACTGTGTCTGAAGATACCTGCAGCTATTTTGAAGACAACAGGAGGCATTATGGTAACCATTGTTGATTTCCTATTGTTTTGAAGTCCTGTGTCACACAGGACTGTTTGGTTTTGATTGGCTTTATTCTGTTTTACTTTTCTTGGTTTTAGTCTCTTTAAAATTAAAAAAAAATAAAAAAAAAAAAAAAGCACCAAGAGTCCTTAACAGTTTCTTTCTGCCCTTTTTATACTCTATTGAGGCTACTGGGATTAGGATCCTTCCAAATCAATCAATGGACTGATTTAATCATCAGTCCCCCTAGGCCCAGATCATACACTGTAGATTCAGCCACCTTGGGAAAAGCCCTATCTAAGACTGCATGAGCCTTTGGAAAGACATGTAGACACAAATCATAACTTGGAGGCAGTCTTTTACATCTGCTGTATTGGTCATATTTGAACACTAAGACATCCATTATTAATAAAGTTTAGCTAACACTGACACAGCATCTTCTCTTGGTGATACTTTCAGATGGCTCTAGGGGTTCTGGGTCCTGCTGTTCTCAGCCTAGCACAGTCTCTCTTTGGTTCTAAACAGTATGACAGGGCAATGCTGTGGGTGCTGTGATTTGGATCTCAGATGGCCCCAAAAGGCCCATGTATTAAGGGCTTGGTGCCCAGCTTGACATGACAAGGAGGTGGTGGGCTGTTACGACTTGTGCCTCAATGTCCCCCCAGAGCCTCATGCAGTCATAGAGGTGCTTTTTAGAGGTGACTGGATCTAGAGTATGTGATGCCAGAATGTATGATTACTAAATCAGCCCACTGATTGTTTTGGCATAGTTCTGGCTACGGTTAGGATGTGAGTGGTACACCTGGCCTAGGGAAGTTAGCCTCAATAAAACATAAGGGACAGAAAGAAGGCTAACATGCTCTTGCCTACATGCTTGCCATGGACGGTTTCTCCTCTCCACTGCCACCCTGCCTAGGAGCCAGCCAACTATGGATTGAAACTGCCGTGTGCTGTGAGCCAAAATAAACCTTGGTTCCTTTAACTTGTGGGTATCAGGTATTTTGTTCCAGCGATAAGAAAGTAACCAAGACACCTAGCATGTGTGAGGACCTGGGGTCAATCCCTAGAGCTGCCAATAAATAAGTAAATAAGATGACTTTCTATTTCAAAATAGAAAAGTTGAATGGTAATGACTTAGGAAATTGTGAAAATTGTTCAGCCAATTTTATTGTGTATGATGGTGTGGGCAGCTATTCTGAAAAAAGTGAGACACATGGTAGCCATTGTTGATTTCCTGTTGTCTTGTTTTGAAGTCTTGTATTGCTTGCATTGTTCTGTTCTGCTTTGCTTTATTCTGCGTTGTTTTGTTTGGTTGTATTCTCTTAAAAACAAAATAAATTTAAAAATAAAGTAATCTAAAGAATGTTGTTCAGGGGCTGGAGGTTTAGCTCTGCGGCATAAGTGCCTGCCTTGCAAGCAGGCAGTCGTGAGTTCGATCCCTGGTACCGATAAAAAGGAAAAAGACCAAAAAAAAAAAAAAAAAAAAAAAAAAAAAAGAATGTTGTTCAGCCAATAAAAAGTGTAATTGTAAAAAATATAGTAGGAACATTGAGGGCAAACTAGTCATAAATATCAAATACTTGAAAAAAGTGGACATGGTGGTATATACCTGTAATCCCAATACTCAGGAGGCTGAGACAGGAGGATCATGAATTTGAGGCCAGCCTGAGCTGTATAGTAAGACTGTGTCTTAATAACATATAAACTACTACCTTCATGATAGAGGGCCAGGGATGTTGCTCAGCAGCAAAAACACCTGCTTGGGCAAGCACCAGGTCCTGAGTTTGTCTCCTGGGACAAAAATGGTGATTATAGTAATGTAAACAGAGTAAACCCAGGAGAAAATTCACACAATTGAAAGTAATTGTTATGGTAGGATTTTGAGTGATTTTATGCATTCAGGGAGCAAGGATTTATGCATGCATAACAGCCTTCTTAGAGAAACCTGGGCCTACGCTCGCTTTTTGCATCAAGGTATTGAATCCTTGCACCTCTGTTTCTGGCCTTGCGTTCTTAGGGCATGGCCAACCTTCAATCTCTTGGTAACTGTGGCAGCCATGGGCCCTGCTGCGGGAGCAGCCTTGACAGCTGTTGTGTCTCTGGATCCTCCTCTCCTACCAAAGAGGTCTGGCTGCTTTTAGCCAGTGACAGGGCACAGTGGCAGTCCACACCAGGTGCACTGTGCAACTCCCCCAGTGCATGACAGTGGTTGAAGGACTCCCTAGTGGCCCGACTGTTGAAGGTTTTTGCAGCTGTCCAGACTCTGAGACTCTCCCTTGCTTACTCCTCTCCAAGTGCCAGCCCTGTACTCTGATCTGAAGGTTATCAGTGCAACTACCTGTCCCCTATTCCTTCATCCTTCCTAGGCTGTTCCCCCATTGCACCCTTACTCCTGTCTTGGTGCTGGATTCTCAAAGGACTTTACTAGCACAATTAATCCCTCACACACCCAGGTGCAGTGTGAGCTCCTGGGGCCAGACCCCTGGCCTCAGGGACCATTGAGTCTTATCAGAAGTAACTATGTGACAAGTCTTTCTGTGGCAATAACGTGCAAGATCAATGCAGTGAAGCAGTATGAGGGGCACAGAGAGGGCTTAACTCATCCTGAGGGGAAGGACTACCCAGGGTGTGAGCATGTTGCCAAAACGTCAAAAGGTGAGTTGAAAGAAGTCGAGATAATATCAATATTTATATAACTTAATATGTGCTAAAGGCTTTACATACATTGACTCATGATATCCCCATAATAATCCTGTAATCTGTTTAGGTCTGAATGTTTTCCCCTCAAAATTCAGAGATTAAAGCTTAATCCCTAATGTGATAATATATATATTTTGGTACCAGAGCTCAAACTCATGACCTCGAACTTGCCAGGCTGGCACTTGTGCCACTGAGCTATATCCCCAGCCCTAATGTGATCATATTAACAGGTAGAGCTATTGGAGAGATTATTACGGTATGAAGGCTCTGCCCTCATTAATAATTACGACCTTTGTAAAGGAGCCCAGGAGAGCTCATTGGCCTCTTCATCATGTGCAAACACACAAAAGGCACCGTCTAAAAGAAGCCGGTCCTCACCAGACATCCAATCTGCTGGCACCTTGACCTCAGATGGTTCAGCCTCCACAAGGTGAAACATCAATTTCTGTTATTTATAAATTACTCAGTCTAAGGTATTTTGTTATAGCAGCTGTAACAGACTGAGATGATCAAGGCATGGAGAGGTGGAAAGACCTCCCACCAGTCAGCGCAGATATGGCCTGTGCCCTGGCTGCATCTGCACTCTTAGCCTGTATACCATGGTAACGGAGGAAATGTGCCTTGGGAGAAGCTGCACAAAAGCCAGCAGTGAGATGGTAGGCATAGTCTTTGTGTCAGTGGGGTCTAATTAGGAGCCTGAAACCACACAGTAGTTTGGACAGGGCACACTCACAATAGAGAATTGTTACTAAGGCGTGGCAAGGGACTGGTTGTAAGAAGTTGAGAGAACTCTGAAGTGTACATGCAAAGCAGCTGTGAGGAGCAGCCCCTGCCTGCAGAGTAAGCTGCAGATCTCACCTGACTCACTGGTGCGGAGAAGTCACTGGGGTGTGGCACTGGCAGAACATGCTGGAAATGCTTTCTGTGGGACAGCAAAGAAGCTATCCAAGAGGTTCTCAGAACTCAACACAAAGCCACAGGAAAGGATGCTGGGGAAGCAATCCCCGGATGAGGCTTTGCCAGAGTTCAGTGGGCAAAGCCGCAGGGCAGCTGCCATGGCAGACACCAGGCTGATTAGACACGGACAGTTCTCAGCATGGCTGTAATTATACCTGCTTTTACATTCGCAGCCCAGCCAGGGGGTCACGTGATCACTGATTTGGCTTTCCAAATCACTGTCAGTGCTGAAGTTTCCCCAACTTTACCAGCACATGAAAAGGCCAAGATCCTTGTCCTTTTCCCCAGCAGCAGGTACTCCCTACTTTCCAGGTCCCTGAGCTGAAACTCCCTGAGCTGGTCCATGTCAGAGTGAAGCCAGCAGACTGGGAGGCTGTATGCTTGTGGAAAGATTTGGCCTGCAAATCTCTGCCAAATTGCCAAGACTGGAAAAAACTTGAATCAGAGACCTGGGTAACTAGTCACCTAGAGTTTGCCCTTAATGGGGTGAATCTGCAGGAGCCTCCCTGAGGAGCCTTTGACCTCAGAGCCAGACCACTTGGGTTAAGATTCTGGCTGTGACTTGATACTATGTGCTTTGGTTTCCCTGACCTCTAGTGGGAATAATGACTATAACCACTCTTTCCTCCACTGAGTAAAGCACCTTGTCAAGCACCTTGAACAGTATCTGGCCCAAAGTCAAAGCTTGGGGAACCAGAACTGATCTTCTTTACCAGTCACTCCTTGCCCAAGGCATAGTTGTCAAGAAGTGACCGCATCTAAGTGGGCTCTGTGAAACTTTTAGAAGTGTTCCAGGTGATTAGAAGCTGAGTCAGTGTTGGCATCAGTGCCCTATACTGTTTTCTCAAACCACAGCAGAATCCTGACTGACACCACTCTGGCCTGGGTCCCTTTGAAGGCAGCAAGGGGCAGCATCACCCCTATTCCTGATCCCTAACAGATGGTCATTGTTCAGGAATTGTTTGCTACAAATGTAATGGTCAGCTCAGCCCAGCTTTCACCACAAAAGGGGCCCCAGCACCTTCTGATACTGCTTCGAGTTGCTGCTGGAGGCCACCCTCAGCCATTGCTTCTGAGGGCCAGCTTAGCCTGCTGGGCATATGCCACACAGATGGCTCCAGTCCTGGGATCTGCAGGGGGAACATGCACAGATGCCAGGGCTACAGGGAGCATTGGGTTCAAGCTGTGTCTGGGCTCAGACCCAGTACCCACAGGGTCCTCACCCTGGAAACACACAATTTCCTATCTCCCAACTCGTATTCAACCCATTCGAATACGGCCCTCAGGTCTCTCCCTGCCAAACGAATGTCAGGAGCCATCTGCTGCCAAGCTAGTGGCAGCTGTCGGGAACATGCTTACATACATATGAATAGACTTTGTTTTGCCTCATGACAAGATCTTCAGTTGAGCAAGGGGACATTTGCTAAATTATTCAGAGGTTACATTAACCTGAGGAAGGCAGAACTGACAGCCCAGGGGGAGGGAAGGAGTGAGAACCACTAAGGAGGCCCAGCAAACCTCAGCCTCAGCCTCAGCCTCAAGAGAATACCAGGCCCTGATCACCACCAGCAAGGCTGAAGCCAGGGTGACCCTCAGCAGAGATGGCAGAGCTGGAGCTGGTTTTTGGTGTCCCACTGAGGTGAAACTCGCTCAGCTGGTTCTGCCCAGCTCCACATTGGAGCTGCTTCCATAGAACAATAGCACAGCTCCCAAGTAGGCAGGTAGGCAGGCAGGCAGTGTCCTTGTATTACCACATTTAACCGTCACAAAACCTGCTAAGGAAAGGCAGGAATTAGCCTTGGGTCCCAGCTGGGAAACAGCAGCTTGCAAAGGTTAAAAAATTCATTCATGGGCATAAGATCTTAGGGTGGAGTGAGGACAAAGACCCAAGACACAAAATGGGACCTGTGCATCCTGTGCTATTTCCCCATTAAGGTGGAGAACAGGACCACAGTGGCAAAGCCTCCTGGAGGCCATAAGGAGCCCCACACAGGCTCCTTAGGGTGTGTAGAGTAGCCTATGTTGGCACACAGGGACCTCAGCTGGGTATTTCAGTCACAACTTTGTAGGACTGGTCTGGCTTCTAGAACCTTCTCCAAGAAGAAGATGGACCATGAAATGAGATTCGCCATAGGAAAGGAAGCTCTCAACTGCTGAGGTCCCTATAGAATGCACAATTCCAGGCTTTCCTGCGAACTGCTCTAGGAGCCTCAGGAAGCTGCCATTCCTGCTAGTTTCATCCTGAGATGATTCTGTGCACCTGGAACATAAAGCATTGCTTCAGGACATGGCCAGCCTCAGGTCAATGTTCTTAAACACTTGTGAGCCTCACCCTACACATACCCATCCTGAGGGAAAGGCCTCAGGCAGGCCCAAAGCAGAGGTCTCTGCAGGCATGTGTGGCCTCCCACAGGGCCTCTGTCACCAGCTAGAGCCCCAGATGACCCACACATGCATACCCACACCAGCCATACACACTGTCACATACCACACACAACACACATGGCCACGCACACTGCAGAGATGCCATATACACATGCCCCACACACCCCCATACAGCAGTGCACACCACCACATACCACACACACAACCATATGTACCACACACCACACAGCAGGTACAAACACGCCATACACATACAACATATACACACTTATACATGCATACGGCACATACCACCTACACATACCACTCAGACACACATAC